TCGAAACTTTTCACTTGTGAAAAAAAACACCATTATTTTTTGCAACGATTTTTAATCAGAACAATGAATAGTATTGATGAAATTTATGGTAAAGTAAACGAAAATAAAATTGTTTAAAAAGAAAATGTTTTACAAAAAAAAGTTGTGTAAATATCGATTATGACACTGTCGACAAAAACAGTGATCGTTCAATAATTTTTAAAAACATTAATGACGCCATGATTATAGAATAAAATATGACACTGCTATACTGATTATGATGATAATTGTTACAATTGATATAATGATATAAGTAATATAAATGTACCATCAAATGTCACTTCTTTTAATAAATGTGTAAAATTAAGTTGCATTAATTTGCCTTAACCAAGAAAAATAAACAACACGTGTTTTTCAATTGTGCCAGTCTTCACTATATTGTTATCTTATTTAATGTCACAGCAATTGGTAATAAATGTGTTAATTTAAGTAGTGTAGCAATATCAGCAAGTGTCACATTGATTGATAATCCCTGTTTTGATAGTATAAATTTAATGAGCATTATTTGACCACAAATTTGACTCTAATAAGTTATGGTATTTTAAGGGTTATTGCATTTTGAGGAGTTGTCAAGCGTTAAAAATACAATTTAAACTAAATTAACAATTCAGTTTTGCAAAACAAGTACAGTCAAAATAGTACAGTTTCAGACAAAACCCGTTCAACTTATGCAAAAATGGGGTGACCCAGTAAAATAAAAAGTTCAACTCAATAATCAGTATTAACTTAACACACCCATTTTTCCTATTAATAGCGTTGTATAAATAAAAAATAGTACATCAAACCAAAATAAAAATTAGTGTTAATTAAAATATTAAATGGTAATATTTGGTAATAATTGCTATCAAAAATAACACATTCAATTTAAAATTTCATTCTTTTTTCAAAATCTGCCATATATTCAATGCATTCAGTTTCAGTTATTTCAACATTTATTGATTCGTATTTGAGAATATAATTAATTAAACACAAAGTATATTTTCCACAATCATTAGTGAAAGGCTTTTGTTGTGGACATGGTATTTCAATTATAGTGGTTGGCAATCCAATGTTATCAAAGCATTTCATTTTAATTAAAAACGAGTTAAATTCGCTTATTACTTTATAACCATCCCATTTAACTTCATTAGTAAAACAAATTAATGAATCCATTTTATAACAATTAAATTCATACTTATTTTCAAACAATTCTAATTTGTAAACAAGTGTAAACCAATGACCACCACAATCTTTGATATTAAAAAAATAAAAATAAACTTTTTGTCACATATAAACTTGTAATTTTCGCATATATTGTAAACGCGAAATGGATCACTTTCCATTAAAAAAATCGATATTCGGCAATAGCAACGAATCTATTATGACCATTTAATCTTTTAAATTTAAATTAGTTAAAATATCACATTCATTTTTAACATCTTCATCTGTTAATTCAATACCAAGTACAATCGTGTCACAAAATTTAGAAACACACTTTTTTACAACATCTCAGTATTTTTTGTTTATTTCTTCTTCTTTTGTGTCGGTTCCTATAACAGTAATATTATCATGATCAATGTCTAAAAATATACCTTTAATGGGCTCTTTGGTTATAACAAAGTTGTACAGTCCACATACGAATTGAATGACGTGTTCATATAAATCATCGTCCCATGAATAAGGTTGTTGAAAAAAAAACTCCAC